GAACCAATTGTGTCGTAAGTCCGAGGACTGCCTGTACTTTGTCTTTGCGCAAGGACTGGCACAACTGATTGAGGCTGCCAAGAAGAGCTTCACAGGAGGCTGCCTTGCCCTGCTTGGAGCCAGTAACATATTTGGTGTGCAAGGGGAGGTTCCTGCCCTACTGGCTTCCATGAGGCTCAAGTTGGTTCCTTATTCCCAGTTCCTTATTCCTGCTTCCTGGTCCTTTCTCAGACCTCACCTGTACACAGCAAAAGATGGACAGTCATGAATTAGATATGCTAAAGAGTTAGCATTTCATCAGAAAGGTATATTGACTAATAAACATGTAAAATAAAATCCTGTATCAAGTACAGTAGCCCTGAATAAGAAGCTGAAATTATGGGGCAAAATCCTTTCCAGGTCACCCAAAACCACACATCTCTGCTGCCGGGGACACTTCTCCAGAAAGTACTTTGCCCCACAATCCCACCTGATCTCTCAGTAACTTACTCAGGGCTGTGTACTCAATACCTGATAGGATTTCAGAATAATAGAAAATTAGGGTTGGGAGGTACCTCATAAAGTCATCAAGTCCAACCTGCTGCTCAAAGCAGGACCATCCCCAACTAAATCGTTCCATCCAGGGCTTTGTCGAGCCAGGTCTTAAAAAACCTCCAAAGATAGAGATTCCATCACCTCTCTGGGTAACCTGTTTCAGTGCTTCACCACCCTCCTAGTGAGAAAGTTTTTCCTAATATCCAACTTAGGAAACTAGAGGAAAGTTTCCTTTCCTCTAGGAAAGGGGCATTCTCTGCCAGGAGTTGAAAGAGGTGTCGCTTCTTGTTCCCCACTCCAGCATCCTCCCCCAAACAGACACACCTGATTGTATGGTGAGGCTTTGTGCCCTGTTGTAGGTCAAATCCTGGGGGAAGACCCAAGGGTGGTGGGAGCTGGTTGGCACTCAGCAGGTGGTTGGGCCTGAGTGAAAGGCCCCATGGCAGGGAACACCGATACCTGCAAGCAGAGGCAGATTTAGGATTTAGAGGGGTCAGGGGGGTGCATTATCCCACAGAACATAATATGTATTTTTCTCCAGTTCAAAAAGAAATTGGAAGCTTTCCTCCTAGGCCAGTGGAGCAGGCATATGATGAGAATGAGCCATGAAGTCAAGTGACTCATAGAATCCTAAAAAAAAATTAAGGTTGGAAGGGACCTTCATCCCTTAGGAGGTCATCTAATCCAACCCGCTACTCCAAGCAGGACCATCCCCAGCTAAATCATGCCAGCCAAGGCTGTCTACCCCGGCCTTAAAAACCTCCAAGGATGGTGATTCTACAGCCTCTCTGGGTAGCCTGTTCCAATGCTTTACTACCCTCCTTGTGAGAACATTTTTCTCAACATCTAAACTAAACTTTCCTTGCTGCAACTTGACACCGCTAAAACTGCCGGTGTTGACTCCCTCATCACTACCTGACTAGAAATGCTGCCACCACTGCCAGGCAGTTGGTTTAAACTCTGGGTGGAACAGGAATCAAATTGGGGTGCACATATAGCAATTCACTCCCTGGACCCTCCCCTACCTGCAGG